TCTAAGCAAAAGAATGTGTCCATGGACATAAAAACAGGTATGGCCCAAATCGAGGAGAGCTTAAATATATTAAGCTACCTCCGAGAGCAGCGCCGGAAGGGGCCTACCCTTTCCGAGCTGCGGAAGGCTGGCCCTGGCTCGCAAAAGAGAGGTCGAACTCGATCCGACTCCCCTACAGGCGAGCCGGAAAAGAAGAAAAATACTACTGCTAATAATAATAATAGTAGTAAAAACATTATTATTAATAATCCTAATAATAATGGCAATAATAACAACAATGCACAGAAAACCGTACCAGACAATCAATGGAAAACGGTTGGAAAAAGCAGAAAGCCCAAGCCAGGGCCAGCGCCAGGTGAACCCTTGGTCAATAAGGGCGAGGCGACCAGCCGCAAAAAAAAGAAGAGGGTGAGAAAAAAGAAGAGTCTCGCCAAATTAATAATTAAGCCAGCTGAAGGCAAAACCTATGCAGAGGTGCTGGGAACGATACGCGGTAAGCTCCAACCCGAGAAGACGGAGACCGTAATTCGATCTGTTCGGAAAACCCGCGAAGGCGGCGTGCTCATCGAAATGGAGCGCTGTGGCAACCACACAGCATTTAAGGAAAATGTGTGCACTGCCATTGGCCAGCTTGGAGACGCCCGTATTCTCACTAGACGTTTACGTCTAGAAGTTCTGGGCATGAAATACCTAACCACGGCCCCAGAAGTGGAGAACGCTATACGCGGGGAATTAGGAGACAAAATGAATGGCCAACTTCGCGTCTCTCTCCTCGCTGTAAACTCGCGAGAACAAAGAATGGCAGTGGTGGAAATAGACGAACTGCCAGGCCGGACTCTTATTGAAAAGGGGAAGCTGCGAGTAGGTTGGATTATCTGCCGCGTCCGAGAGCGCGCGGATGTCCAAAGGTGTTTCCGCTGTCTGGGGTATGGCCACAAAATGGCGGCATGCAAAGGCCCAGACAGAAGCAGTTCATGCTGGAAATGTGGTCAGCAGGGCCACAAAGCCTCTGCATGTAAAGAAATCCCAAGCTGCTACCTGTCCTCGGCAGGAGATGGACACAAAAATGCCAATCACCTGCCCGGGTCGCGAGCGTGCAAGGCCTTCAGCAATGCCCTTGCTGAGGCTAAGACAAAGCTTGGGAGAATATGATTAAATTTATACAAGGCAATATGAACAGGAGTAGGGTAGCTGATGACCTGCTGGACCAATTGGTTCTTGAACAAAGAGCAGACGCTGTCATCATCAGTGAACCCTATAGAACAAAAGAAACCTGGCATGTTGACCAATCAGGCTCGGCCGCGATATGGATTGCTAACCCCAACCATCGCGCAGAGAGCAGCGGGGTAGGACGCTGCTACGTCTGGGTTAAAATGGCGCAAATCACTGTGGTGAGCTGCTACCTGTCTCNGAAAGTGTCGCGAATCACTCTGGTGAGCTGCTACCTGTCTCCAAACGACACAGTCCTTGTCTTCAGGGAAAAGCTCGAAGACCTTGAAGACGAATTGCGCGATATAACCGGCCACATAATTGTTGCTGGAGATTTCAACGCAAGAGGCGTGGAATGGGGTATGCCCCAAACAAACACCAGGGGAAGACTGGTCCTTGAAATGGCAGCCCGCATTGGCCTGACCATCCTCAACACCGGAACGACCCCTACATATCGAAGGCCGGGTTTTGGATACTCTATCCCCGACATANCTTTCAACGCAAGAGGCTGGGAAGACTGGTCCTTGAAATGGCAGCCCGCATTGACCTGACCATCCTCAACACCGGAACGACCCCAACATATCGAAGGCCGGGGTTTGGTTACTCTATCCCTGACATAACCCTGGTCTCAGAAAGCCTTCTTCGAAGGGCTGACGGATGGAGAGTGATGGGAACTACATCATCTTCCATGTCACTGACACAACGCGAGGGCAAACACGTAGTATCCCTCGCAGGAGACCAGGATGGAACCCGCCTAGGGTCGATGTTCGAATGGGGAGACTCC